TATATATATAGTTAAGGCTGAATATGATATTTGCAATCATATTTAAATGTGATTTGATTTTTCTAGATCATCAAGACCCCCCACTTCATGTTTCAAAACCCACGGGGTGTCCGGACCCCAACATTGGGAACCACTGGATTAGATCCTTCAGATTTATATGTTTTAATTATGGGAAACTCAATTAAAACAGATTCTGAAAGACTGTGTCCTATTACAATCAAATGAAGTTCATAACAATTTAGAGGTGATTGAACCTTAATATTAAGTGCTTTCATTTTGGATCACTGACTCTGTAAGACAATATATAGATAATAATGCATTGTAATATTTAAATAATGTAATACTACAATTTACAATAGTAGTAATRGTACAATTTTATACTATTACTCTTATATTTTTCAGTATCAATACGTGTAAAATATGTATTTGCACAAGTAAAATCCATATCGTTTGTAAAATTACAAGTATTATATAATAAAATATTGTGAAAGTTAATTTATCCAACAGCTGTGTAGGTCTGCTGCACTTTGAGGAACCTAAAGCYCTGAACACTCAGTCTGTAGGACGTCTGGAGCTTATATTGACAAATGGCAGCAGTTTAGACCAGGTTACAGAAAAGCTATGTCAAGTTTTTAAATATTTACATGCAACAAAATCGTGACAGACTATAAACTACTCACCAATTCGGTCGTCACTCCTAAAATAGCGAATAATAACAGYAGTCCCATGATGCTGTCAGCTGGTTCACATGGAAGATGAGAATAAACGGTCTAATACACAGAAAAATAATCCTCAAACACCGTTTTGTTTGTCCACAAGGAATAAATCCAATACCAAATTGAGCTTTATGCGTCCTTCATCACTACTTTTTATCGCTCTACGTTTGAGAGTTGTTTATAAAGCAGGCTCGTGTTTTTTTCTGGAAGCCGCGCCTCCTTCAGAACTCATTAAGCCAATCAGACTGCAGGTGCGCATCTAAAAAGAAAAAAAGGGGCGGGGCTTGGGAGTTGGGACACCAAATGCTGCAGTTTCAGAGGAGGGGCGTGGCCTAAATGAATACAGTCATTCATAAAAATGTAGAATTACTACATTTCAAAGCAGACTTGCTTTGAAGCGTCTGTTTATTTTTGTTGAAGCGAAAGTTAGATTTTTGATGCTTAAAAGCAAAGTTCAAATGCATACTTTTGTCTGCTTTATGAAAAGTAAATACATTTACTCAGCTGCAACATTAATTGGGTGGGGGAAATCTCTCCCACTCAAGATCTCAACTGAGACAATATTGTCATAGGGAAAAGAACAAAAGTACAACATCATATGAAAAAAAATCAAAAACACAACCTCTTTTCCTTATCATGTTCCTCCCTCAATACCGTACTCATCTTGATCGAACTGGTTGTATGTTTTTACTTAAATATCCAGAAACTGACAAAACCCTTCATACTTCCTCTGACAATCTTTGTGTGAGGGTAAAAATACATTGAAATGCATGAAGCCCTGCAGTCTGTGGGTAAGAGTTTAATTGTTGTTTACTTAAATTGAGTTATTAAACAGAGGGATGTTTGCAGTCATTTGAGCCTGCAGGGAACATATTATCCCTCCTGATCCTCTAAAAGTTTCCCTGTGCACTTACAAATGGATCCCACAGGGCAGTGTGTGTATGTTGTACACAAAAACAGTACATAGCAGATGTCACAGCTTACATCTCTGTGTGTCATATCCAGATTTGGTATGGCATGAATAAAACCTATCATTAGCCAGACTTATAAAGATTGTTTCACATGTTTTTCACAAAGTAGATTTGAACTGCATCTTCCTACACATTAATAGCACATGCATTTTACCTCTGAATGTCTCTTACTTTTACTAAGTTGCAGTGCTAGAACATTGCAAAAAAAGTGCAGTCGTTGCTCATCTTTGCTTTTGAGTACAGACCGTGTCAGTGGTGTGTAGTAACTAAGTACATTTACTTTGTTATAGTACTTAAATGATTTTAATTTAGTTTTGTTTTATTTTTGGAGGACTTGTAATTTTACCAATTTTAATTTTTAATTTAGACTTTACAAATTTAAACAAGACTGGAAGTCATCATGAAAAGAGTTGTTTAGTCTAAAAAAAATAAAGCGTTGAATTTACTTAACCAAGTTATGTTAACCGGTTCAAGTTGAGTAAATGTAAGGCAATTTACTTACCTCAGTTTAATGGAACCAGTTTGGTTAAGTTAATTTAACACTTAATTTCTTAGAGTGTGTAAAACTACTTTTACTTTTTTATTTATAATGCAGTTTTATTCATGCCAGAGCTGGAAGAACTCTGTTAATCAGTACACATATGGACCAATCCCATCTCTTTAACTCAAGAGTCACTATTTAGCTGAGAAAGTATCTACTCTGTAGGACTCAAAAAAACACTTAAAACATGTTGCTAGGGGTACCAATAACCACAGGACAACCAGTGCAAAAACACACATGGTTATTGGAGCTGTACTGATCTGAAAACACCAATGGTCTGAAGAAAGGGAGTCTAATCCTGGTCCTCGGGTGGTGCCATTCTGCATGTTTTACTAGTGTCCCTGCTCCAACATGCCTGATTCAATGACTGAATTACTTCTTCAAGTTCCGCAGAGGCTTATTAACCACCCATTCATCCAAATAAAGTGTGTTGGAGAAGGGAAACCTCTAGAACATGCAGGATAGTGGCCCTTGAGGACCAGGATTGGACATCTCATGGTCTACAGTGCTGTGTTGCACCATGAGGACTCAACATGCAGAACTTAGAAGTACAAAAACATAGCTGCTCAAAGTGGAGCTAGTTAAAGCAAAGTAGGATTTAGTACCATCTAGTGGCATAGTTACAGACTGCAACAAACAATATTACCTCATTTGACTGTTTTAGAGTTTTTAGCAAGACTGTTGTCACTGGGTACACAAAACAAGAGAAATCAAAYAAAACAGTTAAACAGTTTTTTCTCTTGAAGAAAAAACCTGCTGAATTTGCGGTCATACAGTTTTTTTTTCTTATGGCGCAACAACCTGTTACCCAGAACTGTTTTTTCAAATTGAACTTTTCAAAGTTCAATTCATGAAGAGCTGATGGGTGTAATAATTGAGTGTGATTTACGTAAAACTCACAAATGCAGAGGTACAAGAGGTTGTAAAGTAGAAACCCATGCTGAAAACCTTGCAGGCAGCATTCACCCCTGCATGCCAGCACCGTGTTTTCTTTCACAGAGGCCTACAGAGAGTGAAACTCTACGTTCGCCAAACCACCATCCTCTGTCCAAACAATCCATATGTCTCCTTCTGCCAGTGCATGGAAGTGATGTAAGAGACCAATGTAAACAAACCCAACATATGACACACACACACAAACGCTTTTACACAGGGAGAAATGGACACACACACACACACACACAAACACACACACACACAATTTGGTTTAAATGTTTAATTTCCATTGACTCATCAAATAATGTATTTTTTTTGCCTTTGGTCTCAGTGTTGTTCCCCGAACTAACATGCAGAATTTCCAATACACATCAAAGAGCACACACTCATTAGCTCTTAGACATCTTTGTATTCTGAGCCGACTCATAATGGTTAAAGTGACACAAGTCTGCTTTTGTAAGTTCACTGGAAAAACCCCTGCTGTTCAAAAGGAACGGGAGGAGAGGGAGTGAGCGATGGCAGGTGAGAAATCCATCCAGCCTTCAAAAACAAGTTGGTGGAAATAAACAAGAAGGCCGGACGAGGGTCAAAGGCAGGAGGGAAGTGTAAGGTACGGAGGCAGAGAAACATGATGAAGGGAAAAGTGAAAAGAAAAAGCAAATAAAAATGATAGAAGTGTGAAGAAAGTGGGACTAAAGGGGTTTGCTACCTCCTGTTTCTGCGAGACTCTACGGGAAGCTTTGTGTGTCTGTGAAAAACGGTGTGTTTACATTCAGAGGAAACAGGAAGACAGGTTTGGAATGTTTGGTTAGGAGACACACACCCCCACCACCACCCCCGCACACACACACACACACACACACACACA